TCTGCCATCCAAGGCTAGAGACCGAGGCTAGACTGCAATTTAATCTATAACTGGAAGATGCGGAGAGATCAGAAGGATTCTTATATTTCCCAAAGTACACAAGTCGACACAACAGACGAGTCCAGAATTTGAACTCGCCTCGCCAATTCCACATTCGGTATCGATACCCGTTACACCATCCACACACCCTGTTATTAATGTCGTCATAATACGTTTTACCTGTCATGGCGTCTGAGCTTTGTCGATTACAATTATTATAAAGATGGAAGAAACACGTCAGGATTATTCATTAAAGTGAATTCCGATAACAGAACTCCGAGCAGACAAGCTAACATTTATTCCAAAAGTGGAAAGTTTCCTAAAGAAAATATGGAAGGGATTTTATTTTCCGAACAGTGACAAGGATAAGGAACGCATTTCATACACAGAAATCTCTACCGAAACAAATAAAATTACCGTATTTGATGATACATAAGACGCACGGGTGTATAAGTCGCACTCCAATTTCAGCAGGGTAAATAAAAAAAAATTAGTAATTAGTAAAATTATTACTAAATGGTACAGCCTAGGCTATATTTATGAGGTATCATTTTGGTTAAACAAGCCGTGATTACAATTAAACGAAAAATAATAGGAAAAAAGAACACAAGCCTATAAAAACTTTATTATATCGTTTATATAATCTGTACAACCTGTGTCTTATAAACGTCTTATTGGAATAATTAGGATATAAAAATTCAGATTGTATTTATACCAATGCAACTAGAAGTTATCACAAGAAAAATATTAATGAAACAAATATATTTTACAAATATATTATTTGAATTTATTGCATATAATTTTAGTGAAACAAAGTACTAATATTAATCGTGATTAAATTAATGTAATGAATATTATTAATGATACCACTTTTAATCTGCATAATAGCCTTTTAAATAATGACAATAGGTATATAATATAAACGTTACTCTAAAGTCTAAGCTAATAAAAGTTTCCAGGTAGCTTAATATGTCCGACTATCGTGAATTTTAAACCTACATATGGCATATAAGACGTAGGGGAATTTTAAAAGATATTTTTAGAAAAAAAAAAAAGAAAAAAGAAAGTGCGCCTTATATGCCATTAAATACGGTAAATAACTTGACATGGCCAAGATCTTGATGATTGGAAATTGGCAGCTGATCTCTGTTCCGATCTAACATGTGGGGGAAAAACTGACTGGTTACATTCAATGCCTCGCAAACCAAACGAGTTACATTCCATCATCGTCAATCGGATCCTGAATTACCGCCAGTCACGATGAACGGATGTCCCCCGTCCTCTCGGAGAGGCATCGTGCCTTGAAAGATTATTGGGCCTTAAACTCACACTTGACCTCAAGTGGAACTCGTACATACGAGCCATCCGGCTCCCTGTACCGCTCCTCATGCTATCCTCTACGGTTACAAGAGCCAGATCAGGCCAAAAATGGAATACTGTTGTCATATTTGGGCGGGTGCTGTCAAGACCATACTTTTCAGCCTCGACAAAGTTCAAGGACGTCTCCAAGTGCTTGTTGATGATGAATGACTTTCCACACTCCAACCTCTCTCTCTCTCTCTTTCTCCCTTGGTTCTGCCAGGTCTGACATTCACGGCTAGGACCCGTCATGCCACTTACATAATAGCAAACCGCCCACATTCCCCTCTGTATTCCATTGGTGAGAAGTAAGTTCCACTTGAACAGCTTCTTCCCACGAACCACTGCCCTGTGGAACCGACACCCAAGATGTTTTCCCATTGGCTACAATCTTAACCTGTTCAAGTCTAAGGTTAACCGTTATCTTCTTCTCCTATCAGTACAAATTGCTTCCTAACGCAACCTTCTACCGCGAATGGCTCCCGGGGCTTTTAAAAGCTGAACTGTTGTAACCTAGGTAAGGTTACTGAATAAAATAATTAAACCCAGGCTGATAATGAACGATAATACTTAGGACAAGAACAACACATATAAGATTCGCCAGCGGCGCGTAGAAGTAGTAGTCAATTGCTAGAAGTGAGTCAAGTGAATTCCACAGTGAATCTCCAACTGCAGGATATCTACCAACCGCTCCACGCGGTCAGATGTGGCACAAGGCCGAGTTTAATATGGGGTATCGGGGCCCGTAGGCTCGGCCAAATATTCCCCGTATACCCTGTATAAGACGGAGTCGGGTAGCAGTTTCCCGAGACTACACTCTGCCCTTCGACACAGCCTCTCGTTTGGGGATCCTCTCTGCTCAGAGGCAGAGAGTTTGACCAGCACAGCCGGAGACGAATCTTCAACTGCAGACCAACATACAGTATTTACTACTGTAGTTAGGTGAATGGGGACATACCCATTACCGTTCGTAGGTATGCTACAACATGAACATTACTGTAAAAAAAAACAAAAAAACATGGCGAATCCAGTCGAATTCCAGAATGGGCTGAATAGTTTTTAAAGGGATTTGAAAGATAATTTGGAAAAGATCGAAAGATCCATTGAAAGCAAAGTAGCGGATATTGTAAAGAAACTAACTGGAACTTCTTTCTTACTAATGGAATACGAAGGACGATTCGACCCTGCCTACGTGAGATGCCGGGTCTTAGATGTAAAGGTCTGAACTGGTGGAACTAGGGAATGTAGCTCGTCAGAAGATTTTCCATGTAAGTAGCAGTAGAATAATGCTTACGACGTTGCGTCTGCGGGAAAAGTGGTTGTAGGGTGGGAAACCTAGATGCGAAAATGACATCTCTAACATTGGTGTTACTGAAGGGTAATGTAAACAAAGATTCTACTACCCAAACTGCTTTTATGAGAAAACGGCACATTAATAGTACAAAGTTTTTCTGTATATTTGGTAAGAATTGATAGAAACACTGGAGGGGAAATTGAAAATGGAAAGCGTTTGCCTACAAGACAGAATTTCAAAACTGTACACTATGTCTGGAAGAAAAGTTATTTTAGAATTCTGCCAGCAGGATAGGATGGTGAATAAAAATGATGAATTGTTTTCTTGATGTAGGTATGAGAATAAGTATCCATTATGTTACCGATCCCTGATTAACTCTTCTATGTTTGCTTGCTCTAAGATCGCCAATCTAGAAAGAATGCGACATGTCTAAAGATCAGTCTTAAATACCGGTTGATTTATTTTTCTCCTCTGTGTGTATGTGTGCTTATGTGCGTGTGAGTATGTGCGTGTATGCATGCGTGTGCATGTGTGCACATGTATATGTATACGTGTATATGTATATGTGTGTATGTGTCTGTATGTATATGTATGTATGTATGGGTCTGTATGCGCATTTGTGTGTATTTACGTGTGTGTATGTGTGTATATGCGCGTGTGTGTGTGTGTGTGTGTGTGTGTGTGTGCGCGTACAGACAGCAACTAGCCGCCATTTTATATGGTTGGATATATTTTTCTGCTTTATCATTGACAAGGATTTCATCGTCAGACTGTGAAGACATTTGTTTGGGTTGCACTGAAAGAAGTTTGTCCGGAGTGGTGCGGCTGAGGAACACTTTCCTTACCCACAAGGTAGGACATTTTTTTTTCATTATTAACGAACAAGGTTAAAAAAGGCCTTCATTAAGATTTCTCTCTCTTAAATTGCAAGAAAAAAAAAGTGAAAAAAGAAAAGAAAGCCGAAGAAAAGAAATCCTCTACACACACAAATAAAAAACAAACAAATGAAAATGATTAATAATGCTTTTCGGTCCTGGGTATGACGATAAACTATATCCTGCAGCAAGGTCTCTAATCAAGAGATTGGAGGTTTTGAGGACTGTGGAGTCACCTCAATTGCTGTTGTTCCCAGATCCCACTGACCTGAGGTAGTAGTACCTGTTAGGGTCCCAGCTATGGGGGAATAGTGTTTTGATTTTTGTTTAGTAGTTCATTATGAAAGTATAAAAATATATTATGGTAAAAATACCAGCAAGGTATTTATAAACAAAATGACCACAAGGAATATATTTTTATAGCAAAGTGACAACCAATGGAGCACTGAATATAAAAATACATTTTTATAGTAAAATTACCAGCAATATATTTTATCATCTCCAAACTATACATATATAATCATACGTTTCCCCTGAAATTATAAAATTATGTATAAAATATCTGTAGATAGAGCCATAAAATTGCGTACAAAATATTTAGATATCGGCATTAAATGACCCATAGAGTTGTTGATCTGAGGGACCTTAAAATAAAAAGTGTCTGACTTTGTGGTTGACAAAAACAATAACATTGTGTTGAACATGAAAGATTATGTGATTAAATCAATGCAAAGTACAGACAGAAAGGTGCATAAAGTGGTAAATGGCAAATGTTTTCCTATGTGGGACACTCTATTGTCCACGCCAGAAGTCTATTTACTCCTGACTAAGAAATACATTCAGAACAAGGAAACTATAAATAGCGTAAAATATCAGTACCAGCGTCGAATCAGAGCAAAGGCTAGGGTTTGAGGCCGTTAGTTTTTTTGTTAGGTAACCACGTTAGGCACTAAGCAGACGCAAAAAGATCTGCTCTCTTTTTAAAGAACATTCTTAAATTAACGGCAGAATTCTTTGGGCACTTCGGGTGTAATGGTTAGCAAGACTGCCTCGCAAGATCATTTACGACTGAATAGTGAATTCGATCCTCACTAGGTGCCCCACACTTACGGACTTGTGACACATCTAAGATACGCTAAAAAATCATTTGGGTACCTCGGTGTGCTGTAATGGTTAGCAAGCTTGTCTCGCAAGATCAATTACGACTGAGTAGTGAGTTCGATCCTCGCTGGGGGCTTCATACTTTCGGCCTTGTGTCGCATCTAAGCATTGCTTAGAAAATCACTATAATACTTTTCCATCGTCACCTTTAAAGAAACAATGCAGAATACATATATATCCGTCATTGTAAGTTTAAATTGTTCTTCTTTATCCTGTGGGTGATGACGTTTTTCTACAACTTGCAGTACTTTTTTAGCTCTTAGTAATTTGGCTTACGGCCACACCACGTTGAAGCCCAGGTTCCCGTACGATCACCGAAGTTAAACAACATGGAGCCTGGTCAGTACTTAGACGGGTGACTACTTGGGAATACCAGGTGCTGTAAACTTGGATGTGCTGCTGGTGTAATCGATAATGGCTCAGAATTGTTAATCGGTGAGCTGAGTTCCAATACAAATTGGGGTCACTTACGCGCAAATAACATTGGGAAAGGTATCGATCTACCTTTTCCCCCATCTATGGGTTAATTAGTAAAACTTGTATCAATAAACCATTATTATTCCCAAAAATAGAATTTAAGAAAGCTGGTTCACTGTGTCGTGTGAGACAATTTTTCTCTCTAGAATCTATATTATATATCTATAAGTCTACCATTCATCCATACTTAGAATATTGCTGCCACATATGGTCCAGTGCTCCTGCTATTTACCTTGAGCTCCTTGATAAAATCCAAAGAAGAATCAGCAATATTATTGGTCCTGATGTGGCAGCTCATCTTCAGTCACTTTCCCACCGCCGCAAGGTTGCCTCTCCGTGCCTTTTATATAAATACTTTCACTATGATACCTAGACTTTTTGAATTTAAGCGCAGTACTAGATTGGCGGAAAGGTCTCATGCTAACAGTTTCTTTTCTCGCACTTCTCGCTGTGGAACTCTATTCCGGCTCCATGTTTTCCTGTCAACTTTGATCTTCCAAAAATTAAATGTGATGTCAATTGCTATATACTGTCTTCCTGATAACTTTTCTATTGTTTACATTCCTTAGTAATATTTCTGCTTTCTAATTATTTCACACTTAGTAACCCACTGTGTCTTAGTGGCTTTACTGCCTTACTTAGGGTGATCTCGATTAAAAAATACATATATTTAGATTTCGGCATTGAAAAACCCATAGAAGTGATGATGTGCCGCTAAAGAGAAACAACTAAACAATCTTAGCAATGTTTGACTTTTTATTATTCCTCCCAGTCCCTGTTTTGGCAACCATTTAAACAAACTAGTTAAATAGGATACTTGTTGTGTCCCCGCCTGTCTTCCATATATCTTGTGAGTGTGACATTCTTCATGTCTTTTATTGACGCTTTCTGATTCTAAGTGTCCTTTTTGCTTCAATTTTCCTTAAAACTTCCTCGTTGTTCACATGTTCAGGCCATGGTATTCTCAGCATCCTTCTGTAGAACCACATCTCCGTTGTTTCAAGTGTACTCTTCAACTGTGAGGAAATTTTACAGCATTTACATTCATTTGTTCAATCGATTTTACTTAGTAATTATCAATTTTATATCAAAATAAATTTTAAATAAACGTAAGAATCGAAAGTAATGAAAATAAATATTTTGCAAAAGCCTAACATTTTTTCCCTCGACACATTTCGATTGATATAAGTAGATGAACAGAAATGACAAGAATAAAAAAAATTAGCACCAAACATGAAATCATTATTAAATTCACCAGAGAATCGTACAATTTAAATATTATAACATATTAGTGAAAACGAGATTGTTATTACTAAATAATGCCAAACATTTTTATGTGAGTGCAAATCTTTTGATGGAAGCAGATAATGGACACTTATTTCTGACGTCTACTCAAACGTTTGATGACTGGAACTTAATATGGAGAAATCTAATAAACAATATATTTCCGCGTATAAGACGACCTTTAAAACTCCCAAATCACCCTTAAAAGTTGGGAGTCGTCATATTACAATTGAAAAAAAAAATAAAAATTCTGAGTGATGTTTGTCGGCTGGCTAACCTCGGCTTTGACAGGATAACCAATAAATGAAAAAAAAACTTTATCAAATAAACTGCCAATAAAAGTAATAAAATCATTTCTACTTTATATATATATATATATATATATATATATATATATATATGTATGTATGTATGTATGTATGTATAAGTTGGCTCTCTGTGCCACGCCAGGAAATTTTTCTCCCGTGAATCGATACTTCAAATATACAAATCAACTAGTCGCCCTTGCATGGAGTATTGCTGCCATATATGGTCTGGGGCACCTTCTGTTTATCTCGGATTCTTGACAAGATCCAGAGACGGATATGTAAATGTAATTGGCCCTGATCTGGCATCTCGTCTACAGTCACTCCCTCACAGACGCGCCGTCGCCTCTCTCTGTCTTTTCTACAAATACTTTCATGGTAATTGCTCCGATGAGCTGCTTTCACTGGTTCCCAGACTCCATGAATTCAAGCGCCCTACGAGGCTGGCATCCCGCTCCCCACCCCTTACACCGTAGAAACTTTCAAATGTAGCCGTCTCTTCTACTCCAATAGCTTCATACCTCGCACCTCTCGCCAGTGGAACACCCTCCCCAATTACTGTTTCCCTGAAAGATATAATCTCCAACTATTCAAATGTAATGTCAATCGACATCTCCAGTTACCTTGATCTAGCCACTATCCTTCTCCTCATCCTTTCTTCTATCACTCCTATCTGCTCTTGCTCCAAATCTTCTGCAACCCCCTGCATCCTAGTGGTTTCACGCCGTGCACGGGCGTAATGCTAATATATATATATATATATATATATATATATATATATATATATATATATATATATTAGATTGCTGTGAAATATTTACTTTCTTATTGGTTTGGGCATCTAGGGATTTTATTTTATTTCTGGTTACAATGTTGCCATCTTGTCTCCGCAGGTATATCCATTTTGCAAAATCGTTTTCCAACTTCGGCCAAATAGTGTTTCTTCTTCTCATTGCATATTTTTGTTATGGCAATATCTTCATTCTTTCTTCAATGGCTTGCCAGCTTTTTTTAACACCCAGCAGCATATTTTTTCAATTCCTTGCTTACTTCAAGAACTTTCAATTTAAACCACGCTTCATACGTTTTTCATTTTACCGGTATTTCCCTGATTGATATCGGTTTAAGTTGTTAATAAATTTCATCTGGCTTAGACAGAAGTTAGGAACAGACTGAATTAAAAAAATGTTGAAAGTAGAATCTATTAATATCGTACAATTTTTGTAGAGTCATTAGCGGTATTTTGTGATTGTCGATGAAGTAGAAGTAATTGGTCATTAGTACACCAGGCTGTTTGTAACTGTTTAGATAGAGGAAAAGGAAAAGGAAGAAGAATCAGTATTTGAAAGAAATCACGTGATGAAACGTAAACAAAAACATGGTTTCCTTTTTAGGAGATGTGTGTAGGAAAAGAATAATATGTCCTGAAGATGGTTTATTAGACCGAAACGTCCGACGTTGACATATTAACATTAAAACAGCATAATTGCATATAAGGATTTTTGTTTGTTTTTTTCGTATATATTTTTTTCATGTATATATATATATATATATATATATATATATATATATATATACAGTGTAACCCGGATATAAGAGAGTTGTCGGGAGCTGAGAAGTCTCTTATATCCGGGTTTCTCTTATATCCGGGTTTGGTCTATTTTGTTTAGGTAAGTATGGGCTCTAATTTGGGACCAGAGAAAATCTCTCTTATATCCGGGTTTCTCTTATATTCGGGTCTCTTATATCCGGGTTACACTGTATATATATATATATATATATATATATCAGCTTACTTGTTTCATACTTTTATTTGAATCTCACTTTGTCTGGGTAACAAAGCTTCATTTACTGCGCATTTTCCAACTCGATTCTTATTTTCTGATGTTAAAATTCCTTGCAATCAGTTTTTGTGTAAATATCAAAAGTGATTACACGATTTCAGGATGATTTGAGATGGGTTTAAAAGAGATCTCCTGATTTCTTATATTAAATGAATCTAATAATTCTAGAAGTACATATTGAAGGCAAGAGGGTTTAGAAAATTTGCCACTCACAAGACATAGTGAAGGCAAAAGGAACAATAGAACGTTGCCCTTCTTGCCTATTTACGAGCGTCTTTAACTGGTTGGCAGATTATAGATTAGGAGAGACAGCACTAAGAATAAATTTACTAAGAGCTACAAAAGACAGAAAATTGTGGAGAGCCATGTTCGCCTGCGTCCTGAATGAACACTGCATATAGAAGAAGAAGAAGAAGAAGAAGAAGAAGAAGAAGAAAGAAGAAGAATGAGTTTGTGGAAATGATTGGAGACTGATAGAGAAAGAGATAGATAGAAAGAGATATGAACAGACTGAGATATAAAAAAGTCTGATATATATATATATATATATATATATATATATATATATATATATATATACTAGTTTTTAAAAGACGCCCCATCTTGAGACATTAAAGTTAGCTCCTGCGAAGGATTTTTGATTGAGCCTTCATCAAAACAGGAGTAAATGCGATAGGCAACAATAATAAACTACTCAAAATTTTTCGCTGCATTTAAGTATTGCATTAATATTTAAGCTTACCTTTTAAATGTTTTATAATAATTCGTCTGTCGTCACTTAAAGACAATTTGATATACATAGGTCCTTACTTTCCGTAATTTTTATTTCATCGGTGACTTTCGCTGGATTTCGCAATTAATTTCGATTATTCCCAAATTTATTTCCAGGTTACAAAAATTGTAATCATACAATAAAAAAAAAAAAATCGTCGCAAAAAATCACGTCAAAAATCGTCGAAAATAATCGCAGTTATGAAGACTTGGGAAATCAAAATTTCAGGATTGAGGGTTCAGATTCGGCCCAGAATGGTTTTAATTAGATCACGAAATTGGCCTGATTCCGAATTGTTATATGTTGGACTACGGCCTCTAGAAGTAAAAAGTTGAAAAGTCTGACACATTGACATTCGCATTTATTATATATATATATATATATATATATATATATATATATATATATATATATCAATAAATAGATTTATCCCTCACCAGTAGCAAGACTCGCAGTCTTTAGGTATTGAGTTAACAGTAGCACCCAATGTGCGATATTATATATATATATATATATATATATATATATATATATATATAATAGTGAACATTGAAGTCAACAGTTAACGGCTAAGTGTTGACTTCAATGTTCCCTTTTATATTTACACACGCTCTATCTCTGATATTGAGCACTTTATCCCATAAATATAGCAAATCTTAAAACTATACTTCATATATATATATGTGTGTGTGTATATATATAT